AAAGAGTAACAATCCTTAACAGCTGTAGAGTGAAGAATAGTAAGTCAATTGACTCCTTTAGCTGCCTGAGTAGTAATTACCACAGCTGTGCACCACGGAACAGGAATCTAATCAGGACTCTTCCAACCCTGGGCAGAAAATCATCTTCCCCACTTAATTCACAGACCCCGATTTCAGACAGCTGATTTTGGGGCAGGGGGGGTTAAGTGTGCACTGTGTGGGATAAAATACAATATTCATACTTGCTCATTCTACATATATTTTCCTTCTTGGCGGTTCTCCTCTTAAGTACTGCTAATATGTAATGTACAGTTTAGCTCAAATTTTTCAACAATATGAGATTAGACACATGCAGGTCTGGGCTCCCACAGACATCATCTTACTCCTTTCAGTCAACTAGAGAAGTTTCATATTTGGCTTGCTAGATATTTAGGATTGTTAACCAGCATAGAAAACAAAGTCAGAGGTTATAGGAGGTGCCATTTTTAAAGGGAGATATATAGAGGGACCTGTATATATAGATGCACGTATGTGTATATGTATGTATACATATACATATCAGTCCCTCTCTCTCCACATACACACACACACACACACACACACACACACACACACGTGCGCGCATGTCTGGATATATATAGATCTCTATCTCTATAGAGTGTGTGTCTCTCTTTCTCTCTCATACATATATAGACACACACACGGACCGATTATACACACACACACTTACAGGAGGGACCGATATACATGTGTGTATTATACATATATAGGCAGACAAGGTTCTTTGGGTGAATCTGATATCTTTTATTAGACAAACTAAATGGAGAGCAATACTTAAGCAAGCTTTTGGGTTTAAAAACCCTTCGTTAGGCTAAGGAAGTTTCAGCAGTTGATGTCAAACTGGATATCAAAAATCATGGACTAAATATCGACATTGGATTTATGACACATTATAACCTGCGTGACAGCTGACTTCCTGGGTATTTCTCTACTATTCATCCCCCTTCTCTCCCCCCCACCCAGTCTGTCTCTCACCCACTGACTCCTCAATCTACATTTTCACTGACTGCCCATCTTGTATGCATACCAGCCCAGCCTCTGGCTTTTTTACTTTTCATTCCATCCAGGAAGAGTACATATCAACTGCTGAAACTTCCTTAGCTTGATGAAGGGTTTTTAAACCCAAAAGCTTACTTAAATATTGTTCTCCAGCTATTTAGTTGGTCTAATAAGATATCAGATTCACCCAAAGAACCTTGTCTGCCTATGTCCTTAGACCAACACGGCTACAGCCTACACCCTTACACACACACACGGACCAATCTACATATCTATCTATATCTTGGTCTAGATAGATATAGAGATCTCCCTCTCTACATAGAGGGACTGATATATAGAAAATGTGGCTAACATCTATTTTAAGAATAACGGCTGCTCCCGACTGCTTAAAACTGGAAGGAATAACACCACAGTTGCTGACTATAGCTAACCAACTTCTCAGTTTTTTGTTTCTTAGGGCATGGATGGTTTAAAATTCTGTTTAAACTACAAGCAATCAGATGTACAAGCCAATTTAGAATGGCTTAAACCTCCTTAACATTTCAAAAGTATACTGGGATAATCAGGAATTATTCTGAACCCCCCCTCCCTTTCAGCCAGATCAGCGTTCTGTACAGACACCAAGCATTGTGCGACTACTGTCTGGTCGGTCCTTCAGACATCCTACACTTTACTCACTGCTCCTCATGCCTGCCCCCTCCCCAAGCAACTGGATACTTCTCTTTGCAGCCAGAACTCACTTCACCCAGCCCAGGACCTCCCAGCCTAGATCCACCTGGAATGGGTGGGATGGGGAAGAGAACAGACAGGTGGATCAAGGGGGTGCTGCCAATTCCCAGGGTGCTGTGTACTTTTGGGCAGGGGAGGGACTGCCCAATGTCTTCTCAGCTTTTAAAACAGCATTCCCTCCCCTCCCTCAAGCTGCTTGTCCATTTCACTCCATTAGCAGCAATTGATCAATCTTCCGTACACCAGGAAGATTTGGCTGGGTCATGGCTAGAAGGGGTAGCATACTTTTGCCTTTGTGGGGGGTGGGGAGGGGCAAGAGAAGAGAGAAGCTACCAAACATGTCCACAACTTGCCCACACCCCAGGTCACTTTTATTTTATTGCTGGCAACAGGTGTCAAGGCCTTGAGCATCCCTGGAGCATACGGCACCCCAGGAACTCAGAAGCAGGGGTCCAGGCAACTGTCTCAAGTGGCCACATCAAGGCAAAAGTCTTCTTAAAGCAGGAGCTTGAGCCAGAGACATTCAGTAGCCCCTAGAGTGATCAGCCACTAGGCACAGGGGAAGCAGCAGTCCAGGTAGCTCCACCTTTGCCCCCAAGCCAGCCTAGGATGCACCAAACCCTGGTACTTGCCAGGAATTGAAGTAAATTGATAAATGAACAGGGGGTGGGGGTGCAGAAATGAGTGCTCTTTAAAAGCCACAGTAGCTAGGGCAGCCCCAGCTCCTGGAAGCCCAGAGGCAAGGGCCTAGGCAGCTTTCCCCCAGCACAGCCCTGGACAGAAATAGCCTCTATTGACTTGAGTGTTAGTGGGGAGGGAGGAGGAGGAGGAAGGGTGAGAAGAGGAAATCAGAAAGTGATAATTGCAGGCAGTGGAAAGCCTCTTTTTCCTCTTTGGCATTCGGGGGGGTGGGGGGTCTTCATTCAGAGGCTGCCATGGGACCTGGGGCACTGGCCACGGGGAGGTCTGTTGGGCTGGGGAATCACTGAGCTCGTGTTGTGAGGTCGGCCCCCCGCAGGGACCGCGAGGAGATTTGAAACCAAGAGGAGGCGCTCCGTCACCCCGCGGGGCCGCAGTGCGGAGCTCGGGCCCGGGTCGCGGCGCGGCCACACTCGGGGCAGGTGCCACGAGAAAAGAAGGGGCCGCGGGCTCGGCGTTCGGAGCACAGCGCGCTAGGCCGCGAGCAGCCGAAGAGGAGCCCCCCGCAGCCCCGGGGCAGGTCTCACGGCACGGCACGGGCCACCCTCAGGCCCGGCATCGCTACGAGCCCGTACCGGGCGCCCCGCGGTACCTGGCGATGAGCGGCCGCACGCGCACGCAAACCGTCACGGCACCCTCCTCCACCATGGCTCCACTGCCCCCAGCGCCAACAGCCGCTCCTAACGCTGCCACAGCCCAGGCCCCAACCGCCGTCCGGATTTTCAAGTCTCCCAGGCTCTCCTCTGATTGGCCCTTGCCCTCCCTTGCGTGTCAGGGCTGTACCACTGCGTGGGGGGAGGGCTCCGGTTTGGACTGGGCCATGCTGCGTTCCGATGGGCAGGCTTCTGCTATTGGCGGGACAGGGAGCCAGCCACTGGCGCGCGGCGATATTATATATAATCCCTATATATAAATAGATATATATCTGTCTATACGTATAGATGTAAATAGGTCTATATTGATAGATATGTATATAATGTCTTGTATGTCTACATATCTACATCCTAATGTTATAAGAGCCTTAATCTGTCTGTCTGTCCGTCCATAACGCTTTATTCGTGCCTCTGATTGGCTGACAGCCAATCAAAGTACGAAGAAGCATTGGGACAGGAAGTGGCAGAGCACCACCGTGATGGCAGGGACGCAGGGGATGGAGCAGGGGGTGGCTCCTTGGAGGCAGTGGTGGATGGAATATATACTAGCCAATTACATATATAGACACACACATATATTAGCTGTTAATATATCTATATATCTACATATGTATAGATATAGATATATAGCTTTAGATATAGCTATACAGATATAGTAACAGCTAATACACATCTGAATGAACCAGTGGTGGAAAGTGCCGGGCACTTACCTTGCTTTAAGGCGTCCTCAGCATCTAAGAGGATTTGACTCCAAGAGACCAACTTTGGTTCCCGCTGTAATCTGTGACAAAGTCCTATGATGACCAACAGCTGAGAAGGATAAGAGAGTTTTGGTTCTCAGCTGATGACTCAGCAGCCTTTTTGTCCCAACCCTCTGAGAATCCCAGGTGAAGGTGTATTTACAAAGTCAGCATTTGAAGGACCTCCCCCTGACCACCCCACAAAATGGCTTTGAGTAGGGATTCTTAACCAGGGTGCTGAAGCACACTGCGGGGCAGTGAGATCCTTCTAGGGGAGCCACACAATGCACCATTAGGTATGTAAACACCTACACATGATTTGCAAGATAAACCCAGAGGTTTCAAATGGGAATCCAATGCATCAAAAATATTCTGACCTGTCATGGTTTTGTGGCAGAACTGCTCCTTTTCTGTAGCAAAGAAATGAGTGAAAACTAAGATTTGGCATTTTTCTGATGGATGCCTTGACTCTAATGAATGCCTTGAGTCTAAAAAAGATTAAGAGCTACTTCTTTAGAGCAAAGAGCAGAGGTCTCTGTAGGCCTATTCACCTCTTTGTCGTTTACACCATTGCATAGTAAGTGCAACGTTACCAAATCAAGTCACTTTCCACTTTACTCACTTTGCACTTCTTTGAGTACTCAGGGATGGAAAGAAGGAAACAGCAGGGTCCCCCAGGGATCTATGTTGGAACCAATCTGTTTAACAAATTCATAAATGATCTAGAAAAAGGGGTGAGTAGTGAGGTGTGGCCAAATCTGCAGATGACACAAAATTATTCAAAGTGGTAAAGACCAAGGTGGACTGAGACACTAAAGGATCTGGCACTATTGAGCAAATGGGCAACTAAATGGCAGATAAGTGGAAAGTGATGCACTTGGGCAAAATCACCCAAAATACCTACGCTATGATGGGCTCTACATTAGCTGTTACCACACAGGAAAGAGATGGTGGATAGTTCACTAAAAACATCTGCTCAGAGCTCAGCAACTGTCAAATAGGCAAGCAGTGTTAGGAATTACTAAGAAGAGAATTTAAACAAAACTGAAAGTATCATTATAAATCTAGGTGGCCTATTTATAAAGGAAGCTTGGCCTATTTAGAAGAGAGAAGCTTGAAGGGGGACACGATTAGGATTTACAAAATAATAAATGGTGAAGATAAAGTAAATAGGGATTTATTATTTACTATCTCTCACAAGACAAGAAGTAGGGGTCACAAAGTGAGAGTAGTATGTAGTGAGTTTAGAACAAAAGCAAGGTCTTTTTCACACAGCATGTAATTAAAGTGTGGAACTCATTGTCACCAGATGTTGTGGAAGCTTTCAGTTTAGCCAGATTCAAAAAGAGACTGAACAGTTCTTGGAGGAAAGGGGCATCTATAGCTATTGAGCATGGGAGTTAGGGGCACAGCCTCTGAATCAGAACTTCCTAAACCAGGGCTGGGCAAAATGGCAGATCTGGCCAGTGGCCAGACTCTGTTTCCCAGCAGCCCCTGCCCATGTTGCTGTGGTCAGTTTCCAGGGAGATCCCAGTAGCAGAAGCACTGTAAGGTGTGGAGCCAGGTTTTCCATGGAGATGGACCCCAGCAGCACTGGTGGGCAGTGGATTGCAGCTCTGCCCTGGCTCTGGACCACACTGTCACCACCGCAAGATCTCAGGACTGGAATAGCTCTCCACCCAGCTGTGCCAGTGCTGCTGGGGCCGGTCTCCATAGTAACCCTGGAAAGGAGCTGCAGTGACATGGACAGGGGCTGCTGGGAAATGGAATCCGCCACGGGTCTGATTCAGCCCGCGAACTGGACTTTGCTCGCTCCTGTCCTAGACCTTAAATGCTGGAGGCAGCAAGCAAGAGGAACAGTAGAAAAAACCCTGGTCATACTCAGTTCACTCTCCCTTTCAGTATCCACTCTTTGTCCCTGTGTGACACAGGATACTGGGCAAGATGGACATGTGGTTGGACCCGGTAAACGGCAGTTCTTATGTTCAAGAAGAACATGGCAACAGTATGCAAGGTCCTATAGTTCAGTTCCTGACTTTGCTAATTGGGACAGGTTCTTGGGTGACAAATCCCCATTGACTTCAAAAGAGCTGAGCATCAGGTCCTCTATTTTTAATTCCTCATAAGTATGCCAGATTCATTTTTGGTGTATGTAACATATAAAGGATTACGTGAAATGTTTCTACATCCAGTTTGCTAGTAATACACTTTTAACAAAGACCTATGTGTTTTCCATTGAGAGTGACGCGGATGCAGGAAGCATACCATGACATTTCCAAGTTACTCAAAAAGTTGACTTTCCTGTATTATTCTAGGAGAATATGTGGTTTTTTCTTCGAAGCCACTCCAATTTTACATTGCATTGCTGAACTGAATTATTGAACTTGATACTTTTCATACACATAAGATCACCAGGTACTTGGAGCTTGCAGGCTAACTTAGGTAAAAAATAAGGGAGAGAAAGTAGATACAGCCTCTCCTCCCCAAACAATGTAATTGAGTAATGTGTACTGGTAGCTCTCATAGTTCCAATTTTAATTCTTTTTCTTTACTTTACTTCTATTATAATTTATATCTGAAGTATAAAGCAAGTTAAATATTTATGAGAAAAGTGAGGTGAATGGTGTTGGAAAGTGAGACCAAAGTAATATTTTAGTACATGCATGAAGAAATAGCCAGAGCTTGCTTTGTATTCTATAGGAGGACTGAAGGGCTACTTGTATGGTTAAGGGCTTGCAGGCCAAGACCTACAAGGAGAGACTAAGGCACCTGGACCTCTTCAGCCTCCGCAAGAGAAGATTGAGAGGCGACCTTGTGGCTGCCTATAAATTCATCATGGGAGCACAGAAGGGAATTGGTGAGGCTGTACTCACCAAGGCGCCCCTGGGGGTTACTAGAAATAATGGCATAAGCTAGCAGAGAGCAGATTTAGACTGGGCATTAGGAAGAACTTCACAGTTAGAGTGGCCAAAATCTGGAATGGGCTCCCAAGGGAGGTGATGCTCTCCCCTACCCTGGGGGTCTTCAAGAGGAGGTTAGATAGGCATCTGGCTGGGGTCATCTTAACCCAGCACTCTTTCCTGCCTATGCAGGGGGTCAGACTCGATGATCTATTGAGGTCCCTTCTGACCCTAACATCTATAAATCTATGAATCTATGTTTGACTTGGAGGGGCCTTGTGTTTTAGTGGGAGAGTGAGCAGTTTAGTCCCCATGCCCATTCTCATTTATAGGTGAGTCTGGAGCAAAGGAATATAAGGATGGTAATTACCATTGTAGCAAGGCCAGAGGATTAAGAAAAGGGAACTCCCCACTCGCCCCCTCTCCCTTACCTGCAGTCCAGTTAAAATTCTCATTGGCTCGATGCAATGCAGCTGGAGCACTAAACACAGTGCCACAAGAGATGCAGCCTGGGTGCTGCATGCTGAAAGTCCTGACTGGGAAACAGCAGCTGCTGGGGAGAGAGGCCCTGGCTGGGAGTGCCTCAGCTGGCATGCATGCTGAGCCCTGGGAAGCCTACAGTCCTGGATCAGGCTGGACATAAGGAAGAACTTCTTTACTGTCTGAGTCCCCAAGGTCTGGAATAGACTGCCGCTGGAGGTTGTTCAATCACCCACTTTGAACTCCTTCAAGACACATTTGGATGTTTAACTTGCTGGGATCCTATGATCCCTGCTGACTTCCTGCCCCTGGGGCAGGTGGCTGGACTTGATGATCCTTCGGGGTCCCTTCCAGCCTGAATGTCTATGAAATCTATGAAATCTACAAGAAGAATCCCAACCCTGACTCCTTCAGGTGGGCCCTCCTCCCACAGGGGGCATTAGCCACAGCTGGGAGGCAAGTCCCAATGCTGACTGGCTAGACGCACCTTGAAGCAGAGGTACAAGGACACTGGAAGTGATGAGAGGAGTTCTTGGATGATGGACAAAGACACACATGCTGAAAGAGGATGAGAGGTAGTCAGGCTGCCCACATTTCTTTCTTTTTATACTAGATGGACTATTGGGGATTCCAGGCATGAGTTCTGGGAGGTATTGTTAGGATGCTCCAAGGCTGCCATGGCAGTTGGTGGGTGATCAATGTGGTGACTGAAGCCTGTGATCAAAAAACCATATGGAGGCCTGAGGCAGAAGTGTAGGGGTGGAGGAGCTCCCAATCCAGCCCCCAATAAGGGTCTTGCCAAACAGCATTACAGAATGCAGCAAAGTCTGATAATGGACTTCCCCGACCCAGGTGAGCATTGTCTCTTGCTGAGGCAGAATTCTATAATTTCCATCAAGTTGTGGCAGGAAAGCACCTCAACTGGGCATGGTTATCCCCAGAGAGAGCAACAGGAGGACAACCAGGCCAGAATGCTGGCACTGTCACAACCATATTATCTAGTATACAACTAGCTGCTGGAAACTGAAGTCCTCATTATATGTGAAAAATATGGTAAGAGCATGTTCTGCTTCTTACAGGTTAAACTGGAAGTAAGATTTGCAGCACTTAAAGGGAGCTGAACAATGAGCAGGAGTGGCACCCTAGCTGCTATGACTCAGTTACTTATTACAAGGAAAGATTTTTTTTTATTATGGCTTTCAAAACAAGGTATGTATTACATTCCAGGGCATTTTATATGCAAGAAAATACAGTGCACACTAGGAAATGGACTGATAACATGAATCTGGGTGAGGGCTTTCTAACAGAAAATGGCAAATTTCCACTATCATTTTAAAGAGATGGTTATTAACAAGGGCAGCTTAATCCTCCTGAGACTTCAACAATCTGCTCTTCCAAGGTGCACATTAAAATCACTACCAAAGACATCCTTCTAAAGTCAAAGTATTCTGAATGAGAAGAGTGTACAACAGTAAAACAAAGCATCTATTTTAAGTGGGCTTCTCCATATACATATCTTTTGAGAGTGCTTCAATTATAATAAATTTATTTAAAAACTATTCAGATATTTCTGAAAAAGTATACATCTCTCATTCTTCTAGCATTTTAATCATCCTCATCATCATCCTCTTCTTCTTCCATCTCTTCCATTTCCTCAGCTGCAGCCAAAGCTTCTTCTTGTGCAGCCCGGAGTGCCTGCTCCTCTTCTACAGTAGGGTCACTCATCTCAGTGATTTCTGGACCACTAGGGTATTCTGCCTGCACTGGTGGAGGTAGTGGGGGGCTGTAGTTATCTGGACTATATTTATGACCCCAGCCCAGATAGATATTATCAAATTTCCTAAGGAAAAAAACAAAGAATCACACAATTCTCCATGGAAAAATTCTCTGGCTTCTCTTCGTTAACAAAAACATGTTACATATTTTGGTATATTTAAAAAATGGCATCATTTAACTAATGCAAATAACAATGACTACCTTTTTACCTAAAATTCATAAGCGCTCAACTATGTGATTTATAAAATCTGGACTAAAATCTTTTATTGCATGATGATCCTATATGGCTTCTACTGATTTCACCCATTGTATCCATTTTTGGGACTGAAAATGGAGATCATCTGAAGATGGTAAAAATATCTTATGGAAACTGCAGTGGAAATTAGCCATGAAATGTAATTGTTCTTGAAAAAAACCTTAATGAAATCAAAAGTAGGGGTGCTGACCCAGGGGTCTTGGACAATTGATTAATTACATTCTATCAGTCAAATTTCTAGTGTACTTACCACCAGACATATGGTATTCTTTACTTCCCATCTTAGGCAATTGTTTATTACTGTCTGTACAGCTGATACCAAAGATATTTAGATTTTAGTAGTGGGTAAAGTCAATAGATTAGAAACTAGAAAACTTCAATATAATGATTAAACACATATCTCTGATTAGCCAGTTTAGGATGAAGTAAAAATGATGACTGTGAGAAACCAAGATTACCCAGTCTAATTATGAACACAAGGTACCTACTTGCCAGTAGCAAAGGCATATGCTCCGGGCCACAGATTGGACTGAATAACTGCAATGGCATATTGAGGAACCAGATTTGTAGATAACTGAGCTGTCCAAGGAGGGATGTTCTGAATTTCTGTTAAGAGCCAACCAAAGAAAATATACATTGCCAGGAATAACCAGACTCATAAGTATCTATGAAATATTTTGTACTTAAGTATATATAAGGAGAATTTTAAAACACAAGGAATTGATGTATCTGAAAAAGGAGATATTTGGAATGGGTGTTTCAGAAACACCCATTCCAAAAATGGGTGTTCTTTCTTGTTTAAAGATGAAATCCAGCATGGGCAACAGCTTTAAAATATTGGAAGAGCTCTGTAAATCCAAAGTCTGTTTTGGTGATATCATTGATAATAACTGGATTATTAATTCCAGATACTAAAAAAACAAAAGTAAACATGACTACATGCATAGCTCCTGAAACACAGTGCTAATACTCATCATTTAATGTTAATTCCTTTGTCAGGGATGAGAGCATTGTGGGCCACTTACTGATATATTTGGGAGAACCAGATCCCAATGATACAGAAATATGACCTGAATGTAAGAAAGGAGGGATTATACTTAATAGAGAGTTAATGCAATATTATACCCGGAGTCTCATGTATCAAAGTTAGCGTACGCGATTAACACAAAACAAATTAACACGTTAATTTTTGTAACAAGTGTTAATCGCACACATCCATTTTGACCAGGGGAGGCCCATCCCGTGACCTCTTTGGACTCAGCCTGGTGGAGCGGACCAACTGCGGACCAGTCAGAACATGTGCGCACTGCCCCAATCCCAACCTACCCACCTACTCTGGACCGCCCACTCACGCTGAGCAGTGAAAGCAGTGGTGGTGGCCAGGCAGAAGCTGTTGTTCCGGGCAGGGGAAGAGCGGCCCCTCCCCCTCACCACTTCCAGGTCTTTCTTGCTGCAGCTGCCCAGAGCCAGTGCCTTTGCTACCCTGCGGTTCCTTTCCAGCACCAGCACTGCCACCTCCAGGCCGCACAGCAGGGCAGCAGTGGCAGTGCAGAGGAACCTCAGGGCAGTCTGGGCATGGGTTCTGGGCAGCTGCAGCAAGAAGGGCCTGGCAGCAGCAAGGAGGAAGGGCCACTCTTCCCCTGCCCTGACCAGCAGCTTCTGCTCAGCTGCTGCTACTGCTCAGCATGAGCAGGTGAGTCTGAGCATGTGCAGGATGGGCCACGGTCGGCACTGTTTGCACGGGTTCTGGCTGGTCTGCCCTGGCCAGCGTAAGTCTGGAGCGGGCACAGGGCACACTGATGTTGGAGCTGGGGCTGTGCACTGTTGGTGGTGGCAGGGGAGGAGAGGCAGGGCGCACAGGCTCCAGACTGTTGATCAAATACTGACTATTTGTGTGATCAAAATTGCGATTAATTGCAACTATTTTTTTAATCTCACAATTAATTGTGATGAATTTTTTTACTCATTTGTCAGCCCTAATAAAAAAATCAACTCTTTTTAAGTGATGCAGGATTGTTTTCCTGAACATGAAACAACAGCTCAGAGGGGTGAAAATTCCTCTTTTATCTCAAGGCTTTTTATAGGTGATATCTTTTGTTGGACCAACTGCATGGTTGGAACTAAGCTAGACAAGTTTCTAAATGCAAGGCATTCTTCATCATGTCTGAGGAAAGAAGCAGGCACAGAAGTTGTTAACTTTGAAACCTGAAAGTGACCAGTTAACTTCCAAAATTTTAAAGGCATTCATTGTGGGCTATTTGGGTACAATTATACCAGGCTTGTCCAACATACGGCCCGCGGGCCACCGTGCGGCCCACCCAGCCGACGTGGAGCCATGGCGGAGCTGCTGCCGCTGCTGCCAAGTGCGGAGCCGCAGCGGAGCCGGTGCCACCGCCATGGAGCACGGAGCCGTTGCCAAGCTCGGAGCCGCAGTGGAGCCACTGCTGCCACTGCGGAGTGCGGAGCTGCTGCTGCCACTGCCGAGCATGGAGCCACAGCGGAGTCGCTGCTGCTGCTGCAGAGCACGGAGCTGCTGCCGAGCACAGAGCCACGGGGGAGCCACAGTGGCAGCGGCAAGGTGGGCAGGGCTGGCCCCTGGGCCCTAACCGGCAGTGAGGGGAGGGGAGGGGAGTTGCTTACCCCCGCAGGGCCAGGCTCATCAGTGAGCCGGGTCCTGCCCCACTGTGCCTGATTAGACAAGTTGGGGACAGCACGTGCAGCTTCTTCTCTAGCTTATCCTTAAGATCTCTTCCACATCTCTGCAGTATATGCCTACAATTTCTAGTTAATTAACCAAAATGACCATGATCAAGTTAGTAAAGGATCTCAAGGATAAGTTAGTCCAGGGCTGTTCAGATCTGGTGAGGCTGTGGGCCCCAGATAACACCAGCATGTGTTGCAAAGGCTGCACGCTGTGGGGGTGGGCCCCTAGGACCTCCTCACTGCACAGGCTGCTCCAGCAGCATGCAGACCACCATCCTCAGCCATGCAGGCTACATTTGCAGGACATAGACCACTCCTCCCTC